ATTTTCCCTGCATCAGCATGAGGCTCCACTGGAAAAAACAGGAATTTACTTTGCTAAAAATGAGACATGTTTATCTATAGGTTCCTCAATGGGTTAGTTTGTGCTACTCTCTGACTTTGATGACAAAATGTGTTAGTTCAGATTAACCAATAAATTCATTGATGCATCAGCTTTTGTCAACATTATGTAAAATAAGGTCCTACCATCTAGCTTCATACGTCTTAACTTTTATCCATTTAAAAAAAAAAAGAAGAAGAAGAAAAAAAACAATCATTTTAAACATGACTACTGTCTTTCTAGAGCAGCACACTGCAAAACTGCACCATTAGCAGGACTGTCATCCGTCTTACTTTTTACCTGAACTGTTTGCAACTTCTCATCACAGTGTAAGGGATGCTGCAGCCCTGATTAGTAACAGGGAGCTGGATAACATCTGAGACGCAGATGTTAACTGGCATTATGAAAAACAGGCAAGATCAGTTTAACTAATGGTATCAGAGTTGAAAAATTTAGTTCAGAGCTTGTGAACTCGTAACTCTGAACCCACATACAACTCTGCCAGCCTGCAACCCCCAATTCATCTACAGGCAAAAAGTTAAATGAACAAAACTATAAAAATGACAATGCTAAGTTGAGGTACCAACAATCATAAACAGCCCACTGAACAGTAGTCAGGTTTGGTAACATTCTATTTTTATTACAAGGTTCAGACATATTTTGTGGCTCCACACGGAAATTTGTTAGTCCAATAAACTTAAAGGTTGCCGACTCCTGGTCTAGTCAACGAATCCATCACAGACCTTCCGAGGGTTCCACAAACCCTCTCCGGTTCTCTAGAGCAGCGGTCCCCAACCCCCGGGCCTCGGACCGGTACCGGTCCGTGAGTCGTTTGGTACCGGGCCGCGAGAGTTGAGGCTCAGGTGTGAAATGTATGGTTTTCAGGGTTTTTATCGGTTTTCAGCGTTATTTTGTTATCGTTTTTATCGTTAACTCGGTTTTCCTGGGTCTTTTCACGTGTGTTATGAATAAATCTTCTTTTTTTTCGGTACCGGTACTAGTTTTATTTTGTTGTATTTATCCGCGACACCTTAAAGGCCGGTCCGTGAAAATAATGTCGGGCATAAACCGGTCCGTGGCGCAAAAAAGGTTGGGGACCGCTGCCATAGAGGTCCTGGCACATGAAAGTTTTCTGTCACTGGGATGATGAGCGACAGTCTGAGCGTAGATTTGGGGTGGAGTATAGCATTATTCAGCAACCACCAAATTAAAAGCTCAACAAATGGTGTAATTTTGTCACCCAAGGACTTTGGCTTGACTCAGTATGTAATTTAGGAAGAACGGCCCCAACCATGCAGCTTTAAATGTGCACTGGCTTGTAACTCTTAACCACACACATGTATACACACCCACACTAATTATGTGACACAGAAACCTTTCTAGAAGTCAAGTTGTTAAGCACAGAGGTACTACAAGCTGTTACTATGACACCATGGTGGGTGATGTTCCAACCACATCCTCCCATCGCTTCAGAGAAAGAGTTTAACAAGAAGTGATTGTGTGAAACAAGCCGTCTCGTAAACGCTGGCCTACTCCTTCGCCACCAACATCTCAGTGCATTACTTGATCAGTCATACCTATCAGGAACAAAAACAAATACCTGCAAGAAAGGATTTCCTTGTAGTCAAGGGCACAGCTTGCTGCATTCTTGATTTACTGGATGTATTCCTCAGGATATTCAGAGAGAGTTTAGTCATCACACAAGTGGAACAGTGAATGATTAGCATGTTGCAGTTTTATTTTCCATTCACAGACACATTTACGTATGCAACTTAAATTGTTTTTGTTTTTTTTAAATAATTTCAGCTTTAAAAAGGGGAAATTTGGAAGATAAATTCCACTTTAGTTAGCTTTATTGTTAGTGGGGGTTTTCTCTTAATTTTTTTTAACCCATTGCTGATTAATATTTTCACTTCCTGTATGAACACAAATCTTTTTACCCAACTGACTTCTCCTAATGGCGGCCTACCGTAACATATGTTTTGTCTCCAACTTGTCGTAAGTTGTCTCTGCTGTGATTCACTAGATATTTATCCATCTGCGTACTGTGTTGCGAAGGAAATGCCACAAAACCATTTCAAACTACCTGAGGTACATTTCACATATTTCATTATGCTTTGTCATGAAGGCTACTGTTATACAATCTGATATGGCGGTTATTGAATTTAGGTCATTGAGCATTTAAGAAGGATTTCTCATCTGCATGGATAGCCTGGCACTGCACCATCATGTGGAAATCGCTGGACCAGTTAACTAAAATTGGACAGTTGCATGAAGAGCATCGATCTCTGCCTCTCCTTGGACAAAATGTTCTCAGTTCAATCAAAAATATCTTAGAGAAAAAGTCAGAAATCTTTTCATATCTATTACATTTAAATAAACGTGTCTGAATTCAGGGCATTTCTTAACACGTGCCTTCAGATCTCTCGGGAACTAAGACGGACTCTTGCATAGTGAGAGATTACTTGGAATTTTGCACCATTGATTGATGTCGATATTATCCCCGTCAATCATCAGGTAACATCAAAGCTCAGCAGCTGCAATTTTCCAAGAATTTGCCTCCTTGCTGAACCTGTTGGCAAAAATGTGAGCACCTGAACCCTGCCCTGCATCCAGAGCAGAGGAACTTTCCTCAGGTATAACATCACAGATCGAAAACTGGGTGCTCATTTTGTGTTAATGCACAATTAGGACACAGACTTCACTCAAAAGCACGCTGCTCTCTGATAGGTGCCTCTGAATAAATTCCTCACATGGCTCATGCATTTTAAATCTGGCAGGCCCCTGAGGAAATAAAATCCCTGGTCTAACAGCTAATTTACTGACCTCTAGAAGCCAAACGTAAACACGCATTTTAATTAAAAAGTCACACATTTCTGAGATCTTTTGGGAGCCATTTTGAGTCTCTGCTAGGTTAACGTTTACCAGGCAGACAGTATAAATAATGTGAAGAACAGAGTAGTGAGCAGTTTGTTCAGTCTAGACAGCATCTCCAGTGCAGTCTTGTGACTCACATTGTGACAACGACAGTAGCAGTGGGGAAAATTACAATTCAGAGCTGCTGACATTAGCTAAAGAAAATGTCTTGGGGCTTTCGACATAATGTGCAACGTGAGGAAGTGTCATCATCTTTGATACCCTTAAGCAATATTCACAACATCTACACCCATGAGGTGACTAAACCAAAAGACAAAGCTTTAGACTGAGAACCAAAATCAAATTACGAACCAGCAGATTAGACCTCTGTATGTGTCAAATGTTTAGTATTTGCATACCTCGCAGAAACATGCACACTTGTGCATTTCAGCAGCCATATTAGTATTCAGAATCAGCACCTGGAACATGTTAAGTCTTGCTCGCAGACTCTCGCTGACCACATGGCTCTCTCCCAGCAGCATTTTCTCGTGTTACCTTCTACATTATAAATACTATGATAACAGTGTGCAGGACTAATCTTAAAATTGGTGCATAGGTGCAGGATTTTTCTGGCAAAAAACATGCCTTAAGGAAACAGTGACGTTTCTCTTTTTTTGGCGGGGGTGGGGGGTTCAAAAACATGTCGATCATACACAGAAATTCAGCATGATGAATTCGATTTATGGTGCATAAGTTGCAGATCATTTCTAATCAGACAATTCAGTGGTTGCTTTACAAATGAATTTACAGATAAAATGTGAGAAGTGGTTGAAAATGCAAACCCAGCCTTCTCAAGCCGCTCTTTGCACAGCTTGAGAAGATTGGCTTTGGTATTTTCTGCTCTACAACTCCTTCCAGTTGGAAACGGTGGCAGCGCTGGTAGTTGGAAGTGGACCAGAGGTGCGCAAGTAGACGACTATAAAGAATAGAATGAAGAAATTCAAATCGGGTATGGTTTTTGTTTTCTACGAGTGGAAGTGCAGAACTTTTTGATTACAACAAGCCACGCAAACAATGCAGGAATGTTCTTCTTGTCAGGCGTAGCTCGACATGCATCCTGACAACACTGGAGGAGCTGACTGTTTTATGATTCGTAATGTTAAAGCAGTCACACACAAAAGACCTCTCTGATTGACAGCCTCAGCAGACTGAGGCAAAACGATTTGTTTATATTTTGGAAAATGAGGTTCAGTGAATTAACTATCAACTTTTTTGTTGTTGTTGCTGTGTACCACCAGATGTACTGAAAAATAAAACAGGATTAGTAATTAGTGATTTTCAGGTAAGTTTGGAAGCGCTTTGGTGCAAGCCCAAATTCACTAGCTGCCAAGCTGAGGCATGTTTGGTTGAAGTAAGTTCAAGATAGTTCATTGTTATAAAGACATGTTTTTAACCTCAAGCAATGAAAGATGCTCCCAAAGTCAGTAAGTGACACTGAGTAACTACTATGATTACAATAATCTGTCTGATCTGCCATAATCAGACAGCACTAGGGAAACATAAAACATTTTTAGTCGTGCATAACATTTTATTAAGAGCACCAGCTACTATCATTACCCTTCCACTCTCTCATCCCCACTTTACCTCAGTCAGCTTTCATTTACGGGTATTTGTTGTTCTCCAATTTAATCTCTGTTATTGCACACATTAGTTTTCCCTCCTAAATTATCACAGACAGCATATTACTTTGAACCACATGCTTCACCTAAACGTCTGTTTCTTCCCTTCTGGTAACTGTATCGTGGCTCTTCAGGCACAAGTGCTTTAGTAGCCAGAATTTCTTGACATACAAGCTAAAGTCAACATACACTCTGCTATAGACATTATATTTAAAGTACAGGATGTGCTTCCTATTACTGGCTCATATTGTGTGAAAATTTCACAGCAATCATGGTGCACAAAACCAAAGATGTACACAGAAGAGACTGCACAGTAACTTACAACATCCAGTGTCCTGCGTAGATGTGCAACACACTGGCTCACCAGAATGAATGGTATAACACAGAGGCTTGAACTTCAGTGTTTACCTTGATAATGCTGCTCCTGCGTGGTATTTCAGATTTGGTGTCCAGACCGGCAGAGGTGTTGGCGTTGTCCACCCCGGTTTGGCTGCCAGGTGCGACGAGGGATCCCGAGCCGACCATATTTTCAGATATCCCACAGTCTCCATTCAAGACCGACACTTCGCAATGCGTCTTACCAGCTGCGTTGTCGCTGGGCACGGCAGTATCGTCGGGATTCAATGGAGGCAGGCTGCCGTCCTCTTCAAACTCCGCCATAGGCACTTCGAGCACACACACACGCTCCCTTTCTCTCTCTCACACACACACAAGCTGACGAGCTGCTGGGTAACAAAGCCGTATGTTTCAGCCGTACTCCCAATTTCCTGCCTGGCCTATTGCCTCGATGTAACATTTACACCAAATCACGCCGTATCATCTCTCGGTGCAGATAGCTGACAGGTTCCTACAGAGAGAGGGGTTTTCTCCGTGCATTGTGCTCTGTGGAGAGAAACCACAGCGATTAGCATAATTAGGCAGCATGACAGTAGTAACAACAGCAACGTGAACAGTGGCAGCTTTTGTACAGAAGGCGTTCAGCAGTGCGCTGAAAGCGGATGTTAACTTGCAATCACTACAGGCTGTCATCACAAATGCAGCAAATACAGCCGGTTTTTCCCCATTTATGTGCATGCTTTCTTGTGCATTTCTGCACAAGTTCGCACACACAGCGACTCCATTACGGTCCATTTAACTGTAATAACAATAATAACAACCCCCCCACACCAGCGTACCGGTGGTCGTTAAGGTAAATAACGTTAACAGAAACTTATCAGGTCAATTAACGTCTCCACTAAAGTCACGATTAGCTTCATGTGACGCTCGTCGGTTTTGTGTACTTGCCTTTTAAAGCGCCTGGTCCCACACTATCCATGAATGACCCGTCTTCTTTGAGCACAGCACCCTTGGCTGTCTTTCACTACTGTGTGCCGAGCAGCGCTTAGCTTAGCTACAGCTAACTCCACTCGCCTGCTAGCTGTTTGAAGTTAGTTTTCCCAGCCAACTAAAACCCTAAAAAGGAAGGAGAGAAATGCTTCCCCTGAATTTTTTTTCAGGTCAGACTTCAGCGGTTATTACGTTTTCTTAAAAGAAAAATGAGAAAAGAAACGAAAACGTTGATTTCCCGTTAAATCACGCGCATACAGTAGTCTCCATGGAACAAAGTTGTGTATGTCTCGTGAACGCGCAGCAGGAGAAACAGGCCGAGCTGTCAATCAAACCCATAGACAAGGGCTGCCAAACATACGGCCTGCGGGCTCGTACCGGTCCGCCACAGGGTCCCGTTTGGTCCGCCACAGGGTCCCGTTTGGTCCACTTGATGGTTTGGCAAAGTGTAAAAATTGCAGAATAAACCTTAATTACTCCTGTTAATCAATAACATGTACCACCGGTCCTTTTGTGGTGGTGCTGAAACTGAAAGATACAGAACGTATTTATAGATCTAGTCCAGTGATTTAATTCTTAAAGGTGTCAAATATGTTTTCAATGTTTTATTACTTTACGGTGTGATCTGTAAAATATAATGTACATGTACAGCCAACGAAATCACACTTATTTATCTCAAAAGACCTCACCTGCTCATCATTAGTGTTATAAATTACTCTCAGGAAATAAGAAAAATGATTAAGTACGAAGTAATACCCCTTGTTTTAAAGTTATAGAAATGTGGTTTTTAATGGTTTTTAAGGTTTTTAAAAATGTGAGCAAAATTTTTAAAAACCTTACCTGTGGCTGAGCTGAATAGTTCTCAAAGTTTTACTTCATGTCCAGAAGAGAATATTTGGACGTGTAATAATATTTACTTATTAAATGATTAAATATAAACAATTACAGAATGTTTTTACTGAGCTTACCCACTTAAGCTGAAATTAGGTTGCACTTTGACTAAAATAAGTTAGAAATCCGTGCTGTAGACTACCAGGAAATATTAGACCCACACACACACATCAATTACTTTCACTTTTCTACATAGCAAACAAGGCTGCGTGCCACACACTGTAAAATACCCACATGCCTTTCACATTACTCTCACATAGTTTAAGTGTTTTCTTGCTGACTTATGTCACATAAGTCAAAGCAAAAGTACGTGCAAAAAGGCCACAAAACCAACAGCACCACAAAGTCACCAAGAACATACAGAGAGTAAACTAAGGGTGACTGAACAGCATTTCAATTCCAGGTTTGTATAAACTTTTCAGCCATAAATGGATATAAATGTTGGATGTTACCTATCTGTCTGAGCTAAAATAAAGGTTACAACGTATTCCAAGGAGACACAACATACCATGCATGCAGTGCAAACCAACCCAAATCCTCTTTTTATGGTAACATTTGGATGATTGGAACAGAACTTTTATCATCGTTTCAGCCACGATAATCATTATGTCGAATAATTTGTGTCTGTGGATGACACAGTGCATTTGTGTTTTCATTTTCGTCACAGGGAATTAAGACAATGTAAAGTTGGTTTTCCTCACTTTCACAGAAACTCCCTTGTGAGTGAACGTAGCTGATTATTGTAATAGCACAACGGCCACCTTCATTGGGCAAGTGTTTCGTGTTATGTCATACCCGGGGAACTATGTGCTAGAGTAGGTCCAACCACCTGGGAAGGGGCTCAGTGTGAATTGTAGAGGTGTTTTGGGGTCAAATGCATCTTTCATGCTTACACCTGCTGTGTCGCTTAGGTCATGTCAGAGCAATGAGAAAATGCAATTTTGATAATGTGGTTTAACAGTTAGAGCTCATTTTCACTTATCAAGTGAGAAAATAAACCCTGTAGTTATACTGTTCCAGTCACCATTCATTCTACCTACAACATTTAACAAGGATAATACAAAAAACCCCACCAAAAAACATAAATAAGTCTTGCTGGTGTAGTTCTGCTTTCTTTTTCTTTAATTTTATTATATATTTCTGTATCATGTTATCTTCTTTTCAAGCATCATCTGTGAATAATGCATAAAAAGAAAGTAAACAACACGAAACAAAATAAAAGTCAACAGCAGCAAGAAGCAAGTGCACACAAAAGATTCTTGGGCAAATGTCATTAATCTCACAGTTTTATTCATCAGTTTCACATACAGGAAGTCCTTGAAGATACAGGAAATAGATGGATAACCAAAATATTGTCAAGCTGCTTTTAGGAAGAGCAAAGACAACGTTCCATGGAAAGCCTTTCTACAGCAGGGAATGCTGTTTTCTAACAGTGACCTGGCAGGGTTGACTCTACACTTACTTTTGAAAGTAAACAGATTAATGCTTTGAAATATAAACTGCTTTCTCTGCATGACTGTAGGACATGTTCTGAATGACTAATGTTGTTGTTGTCCATCTGAGTGGTATTTATGATGAATCAAAAACAGCTCACATTATGTCTAATTTCCTTGTATTTATACGGACGGTGCTCGGAAGATGTACTAATCTGAAAGGTGAAGTAACGGCTCTTACTACATAACAGTCTCATTGCACTATTGCGTCAGATTTCTTGTGAAAATATTCTCACAGTAACTACTCTTTGAAAGAAAGTAATCGGGTTTTAGGAGGGATGATTAAGCGATTTAAAATATTAGTCATGCATAGTCAACACAGACCTTAAATGTAATTCATAGAGCCTAAATTCATACCCTCCTTTACAAAAAGACACAGAGTGAGTGATGAGGCTTAATGTTATTTTACATGGTTTAGTAGGCTTTGTTCATAGTCCACTGCCTCAGATGAAAGCAGCCAAAGCGAGTGTTGTGAAATACAAAAGCAGGAGGTGGGGTGAGTTGTACAACAGAGACATCTGCTGACTTATAATGGTACACTGTCTTTTTTTGTGCAGGGCAAAGTTTGTTCTGACTTGTCCTGTGACCATTCGCGTTTGCATTACAAAACACTTATAATAATAATAAAAACAAAACGTCTACCCATGCTGTTATGTTTTAAATATAAAAGAGCATTTTCCTTTTTCAACGTGGTCTTTTTGCACAAGTGTGTAAAACAGTTTAGTTGTCGGTGATTTTCCTTCGGCTGTGGTTCGGCTTAAAGCTTTTTTGGTGGTGCCTCCAAACAGTTCTCTGTGGTACCATGTAAGATGCTACCGTTGTCCCCTTGACAAGAGCTACTATTTGTAGTTAACTATTTGTTTTTAACCAATTTTCTCCTTAGTATAAGAAACAAAACAGTCGGGTACATTCAGTATTTTTTTAATTAATATTTATTCATACATTTGGAAATTGATTTTTACTGTATCCTTATTATTGAGTGTGTGTTCAGTATTTCATTTAGTTTCTTTGCTTTATTGATTGTTTGTTTAATTGTTTGTTTTAGGTCATCACTAGTTAATGAGAAAAATGTCATTTTTGCAGCTTTTTAAACTTCTTGATATTGCAGTGTCATCTTTAACCGTGGGAAATTCTCTGCTGACTTTCATTACATTTTACAATAAAAATGAATGTGAAGGCATGAGCATATTGCATATTAATGTAAACTCAATAAATATGTGTATGTAAATATAATAAAGCTCTGATGACTGTTACATATGGGATCAATTTACTGAAGACTGTTCATATTCAGTCATTTAAAGACAGTTGAACTTCAGCATATGCAGAATATGCTATTTTTAATGTACTAATACTTATTGTATCAGTATGTGCTGAGTCAATATTTAAATGCACCATCTGGTGCTGCCAGCATCATTGGATTAACAATAACACTTTATTTAATGTTTGTTCCGACAAAATACTGCGATTCATTATGACTGTCTGTCCACAATCTGCAAAGTGTCTTTGATTAAAGATGAAGTGTTAAAGAAATGTCTCCAGACAATAGAACAGATTTGTCTGTATTTATTTATTTTCCATGTTCTCTTTCATATGTCATTGGTATCTTATCTCATGTTACAGACAGAGAGCCAACAAAGAACATGTGAACAGTACTGGGCTGAAGCTCAGTTTGCAGACTCAACAGTTTAGCCTTTAGCCTATTGGAATGATCTCGGTGGTGCATGTGCATGAAGCAGGGCACCAAGCCTTCACCAGCTCATTACTGCATCCAGTGGTGTTTTTCAAGATTGGACAGTTGATGTAATGGTCTATATATGGACAGGGGTTGTCTAAAAATAAAGTAAAGAAATGATTAGCTCATTGTCTTCATTATCAGCAACACATTTTACCTGCCCAGTAATTAAACACCACATTTACTTACTGCAGAGTTTGTCCACACAGTTGTTAGGACAGGAGCCACATGGAGATCCCGGTGTGTAAGGCGCCCATCGCCTGAAGTTTCCTCTGTTAAATAAAAACAGTTTATTACAATTATTTCAGGCTTAATAATTGTAATTTCATGTAATTTAGACTCTATTTTTTGTTTTGTCTGAGCACATATGTCTGTATTTACATATATAGATATTTGTACATGTAAATGCAAGTATGTGTACTTGCATATATCGTTTTTTCTGTATATGTCTGAAATAAAGATAAAGATACAAAGTGTGCTCCACCCTCAAACTTCAGTTTATTTCCATTGCTGTTAAGATTGCTAACAAAGTGACATGTAAAATAAAGCTACTGTAGGCTTTACGGGTGTGAAAGGTGTCACCTACGCGCGATAATAATGGCAGCCATAGTAATAGATGTTGTTAGGGCACAGCGTTGCTCCACAGCCAACTTTGTATGAGCTGTTCCATATGACCTGATGAGAAAAACATAAAGCCGTTGGTTTTAGAGATACTCCAGTGTTGAAATAGCTACTGACTGCTCAAATATGAACATAAGTCATTTATGTTTGTCCTGTTTTAACATTGCTAATTCTTGACTGCCTGGAAACATTTGGGCACTACACTCTGCAAGTTAATTTGTATTTAAAGCACTACATTTGTTTTAGTTAAAAGAGACAAATTTATCTTCCTAAAAACGCAGTGCCTGTTTAAAAGTGATTAAACAACTGCTTTTTGAAATATAAAAATTTCATTTTTCTAAATAGGTTTGGATTCTCTTTTTGAAAGCAGGAAGGGCCACTCGTCTTGAACATACAATCCACCATAAAATGAATACTTAGTAATGAGAAAGACACAAACAGAGTCCTTCGTCATGACATCAAAAGCATCCTGCAGCTCAGATAGCAACATTATACTTTTATTCAACAACGATAAAACTAGAAGGAATTTTTGTACTTAATCATTTGGACTTCTCTTATCACTGTCTGCACTTTCTACTTAATTCATGTATTTTGCATAATGTGAGCCAGAGTTCTCATGTAGCGCTTCGATCAGCCAGTCATTAGGCAGTAGTTAAGTGCGTCATTTCTGAAGGGGCTGACCTTTGGGATTTTCATCATAACTGTCTGTAGTTTACTCAAAGTGGTGCAAAAATGTTTCTTGCAGCATGATAATGCTTCATGGCAAACAGCAAACGTGTCGGACAGACTTTATTAATGTGTCGAGTCGACCTTAGTGGGTGATTCACAATATAAATGTCTATCTGACAAAGCTGCAGATATCACTATATTATTACCGCATACTATTGTCAGTGTAGATCAAAATCATTAAGCAGCTACCAAGAACTGAGGCTACTTGAGAACAAAAGGCATCCCTGGTGTTAAAATGCTCTGTGATGTACTTTCGGGAGTAACTTTTCTTAGATAAGCTTATATTAGTTCAGTTCAAGAATAATATGTTCACTCAGTTGGAGTTGTGTTGTTTGGCCACCTGATCACTGCAAGCTTAAGATTCACGCTCTTTTGGGTATGTATTCACTTTGTTATTGTGTGAATGTTTTGCTGAGCAAAGATCTGTAAGACTGAAGCAAGACAGTTATAAATGGAGAAAACAACAACCCCAAAGATGCTGAAAAGCTGTATGAAATGAACAAAGTCGTTTCATTTGTCATTTGATCCACAGTTAACCCATTAAAGTCTCAATCACTAATCCATTGCCAAAAAAGGTCTCATTAAAAATGTTGTGTTTACGGAAGCGTCTGGTGAATAAAAATACGTGATATTAATTTGCATATATGAGTTTTAATTTGTATCATATTTGCTACATCAGCCTTTCTTTTTGCAATTTATTCCTTTCGATGTACCATGCAACTTATTTCAGTTTTTTGGGGAGGAAATAAATCACACTGATGATGAAGAAGTCTTAAAAACTCACAAAGAGTCATGTAATCAAATTATGATGCACTTGGCTTTAATGGGTTAATAAAAAGAAGCAGCTATCAAACAGGTAAAAGAAAGCAGAAACCTTTCTGTATAAGCTGTTGTTACCTGTGTATAGTGACCAATAGATTTTCCATTGGTGGATCCAGTGGGGTAATTGTAGTGTTCTACCTCACTATGCCACGCATTGATGACATCAGTCCACGACTTAAGAGAAGATGAATAGAACAGATTCTCGCCCAAGTGATATCCTTTTTGACAGTGGGAAACATGGCAGCACTGATTATTTATTAGGATCTACAAATGCAGGCTTTCGTTTTCATTTCACAGTAGATGTCACGGCTGGGGCGGCAGTCGTGTGGAGGTGAGAAGGAGGATCCAAATAGCAGCCAGAGGTGGAGGTGCAAGTGAGATCTATTTACAGTGAGTAATAACCAAGAAGCGGGCAGAACCGAAACATAAACCTAAACTGGGAAAACTAACACAAAAGGAAGACATGGGGCGAGGAGCAGAGAGACACGGTGAAACACAGGATAACGCTAAATACACAGAAGATTCACAGAGAAACACACACGATGCGACAAGAAGCACAGGCAGGCACAAACTATAAATACGCACACCAGGTAATCAGGAAAAGGCACACAGGAGGGGACACAGCTGGAACTAATGGGCATAACGAGACACAGACCTACAAAGTAAAACAGGAAACACACAGACTGTTTTACAACACAAAACTCAGGGACCCGTACAGAGCACAGAGGGAGACACAGGTAGGGAAAATAAACACGACAACCAAACCCAAAGAACTAATACAAAATCAGAATAAACTAGAAAATAATAATCATAAACTCAAAGCGCTGGGTCACCGACCCAGGACCATGACAGTAGATTTAATTTTTAGTAAAACAGGGTTCATTAAAAGCCTATAGATCATTATCTCCTCGTAGATAATATATTCTACTCTGTGTAATTTGTTATTAAAAGAAGGTATTAAGACTGAAGATAAGATAAAGTTCACTGTGATTCTGACCATCAATCACAGGTTTGCTCAGTTCAGAGGGAACCTTTAAATTGAGCCAGATTCAGATATGGAGATGTGGTGCAAGGTAACAAAGAAAAAGAAAGAAAGAAACAGAAGGAATAAAGGGAAGAGACATATACCATTGAGCAGGCGGGTGCTGGGTGCTCCATGATCCAGAATACACTGATCAACCCAAGCCTGAGCACTGGCTGCTACCTCCTCACTATAGCTCTATAAAAGAAAAAGAAAAAAAAACATTATATTTTGAACATACACCAACAATCCCTAAGAAAAAAAAGTCATTCTCTGGTTAGATTTGTGCTGAAAAGCAGCCCATTTGTGCCTGGAAAAATTGGTGAACTAAGAATGCAAAGTTAGAAAATACATCCTATTCTAATGCTTCAAATATGAAATGGCTTTAACTGAAGTGCCCTTGCTATTTGACACAAGCCAGTTTGCTATTCTACCAAAAGTTCCAACGCAAACGTGCAATTTTTCTTTTTACTTCTCTGCTAAAGCCTCACACCTCTGCACCCAGCTCGTTTGGCAAGGACATGAAACAGCTTTATTCTCCTGCTTTCAGAACTTCTGGCTTGATTTCCTACACTGAATATGCTTTAATAAAAGAAACATCACATATGATTAATATATAAATCATATTTTAGACTGATTAAATCTATCCATGAAATAAAATTGTCTAATGTATTTGAATATGTCAAACAGCTTCAATACATTTGCATACAATCCGAGTTGCTTGAATAGAACTGGAAAGAACTGGATAAAAACTGGAAGTTAGGATTGAGTCACCTCCTTATCATTAAACTATACAGTCCGGCTTTTATGATTTACAGGACTGTGGGTGAGGTGCAGTAAACCTCTCCCACTTTATCATTTTTCTCCCTCCTACAGGGAAGGAGGGAAAACAAATGCTGAGGATTGTGAGTAAACACTTGTGGAGCCACATTTACTGTTAGAGTTGAAAGCACGACTGACCATTATCAGCATGTCAGACGCCGAAGGCTGAACCGCTCTCCTGAACGCATTGTGCACGTCTACGATCTCAGCCTGAACCATTGCATTTTGTGGGCAAACGCCTGCAGGAGCGCGTGCGCACACACACACACACACACACACACACACACACACACACACACACACACACACACACACACACACACACACACACACAGACATTAAAAATCAATGTGTAAACACCGGATTACAGACATAATAAGGAGTGGTATTTACTCCCGTGGTTTAATATCCATGATATGACTCACAAACATATCCTGGTTTAATTGCTCTAAAATGACTCGACATACAAAAAGAGTACACAGAGAGAACTGGGCCAAATGCATTAATCTTACTGGGAGACTTACTGGCACAGTTTCAGATGATGATTAAAATAAAATACTTTTGCAAACATGCCTAATGCATTTTTCACAGCGCTTACCTGGCTGTGGACACACCATGGAAGGTAGCATTTGAAAATGAAAAGAAAATTCAAGTTAATTTCTCATAAATGAAACAGACTAAAAATGCTAATTCTACTTGTTGTAGCTATTTTAATGCTGTTATTTGTTTCTTTTTTATCAGTTTCATTCACTGCTCTGTCAGGGAAGTTTATAGACAATTAACACTATAAAACCTTTGAGTCCCAGTTGTCCCCCAAAATATGACTAATAGTGGAGAACTGTATCCTTGTGCATCATTTGTCTTGCATGAAAAACTTAATTCAACAGTACCAAGTGAATGAAAATAAAGAATATTTTAGTCTAAACTCTGCTGAGGACTCACAGAACAAAAAAGAGGTTTTAAATTCTAAAATATACACTTTTCAGCCCATGCAAAATTCTTGCAGCATATGATAACATAGGTGACATTACTGTGTAGTAGAGAAGAAAGCTTTGCACTTCTACTCACCAAAACACATGCTGAGTGCACCTGATGCACTGCCACGATGTAAATGAGGAATGCTAGCATTTTCTCTGAGAACAAGAAAACAAAACAAAATTCATTTTTTTCTTTTTATCCATGATGCTTTTAAACATTGTTGCCATTTTTAATTTCTGTGTAGTTTTTGTAGCTTGCCATTCATCCATGAAATAAGTAAGATATTTCTTCCAAAACAAATCTGAGTGTTTATCTATCTATCTATCTATCTATCTATCTATCTATCTATCTATCTATCTATCTATCTATCTATCTATCTATCTATCTATCTATCTATCTATCTATCTATCTATCTATCTATCTATCTATCTATCTATCTATCTATCTATCTATCTATCTATCTATGCTATAGCTTTGGTTATATGATATATAACAGAAACTATAAAAATGATTAGATCTTACATACCTGCTCCTAAGTCCTCAGGACGATGAGGTGAGTTGGCACTTTCCTCTGCCTCCTTATATAGATCCATGTCAAGTGCTCAGTACAGTGGATATTGTACAAAGACAAGTCTGTCACATTGCATTAAAGGGGCCCTTTCTTCATAAGAGTACACCTGACTGCGAGTAAATGGGGAATTGTTAAGCCCGAGGGTTTAGTGACTACCTGATGTATTGGCCTGTGTTTACACAGCATAGAGTGGAACGGTTTCTGAGGTCAAAGCAAATAAGGAATACTGATACTGATGGATTAGAAGATAAAGTTGTATGCTTTTATATAAAAAAGGATTAAAGCTGTACAGCTTGGGTGGGCTAAAGAGGTGCCCATAACTTGCACTTGCACAAAATGCAATACATTAAAAGATTAATTCACAACGGCATGCAGGAGTGGGAACCAGCAGATCATTAAGGCAAATTCAGTTGTACAATTCACAATGATATTATTTTAACCCAAAACTACAAGTGACAAAGACTGCTTTTTGTACTTTTAGTTTAGAGAGGGTTTGAAAAAATCCTCTCTAAACTAAAAGTAAGTAAGTTTAAAAAGCTACACTAATCAATTTAAGATGAGATCAGTTTGTCAAACAGAAAAAGCATTTGCAAATGCAGAAACATGCAAAGTTCTTTAATTATGTTTTTTTTTTTCTCCTAATATTTTTCTGGGGATGAAATCAAGAATTTTTTTTGCAGTTTGTCTGCAAATAAACTGTGTGAAATGAGTAGCTTACACTGTTGTTTACACTGTTAGGGACTATACATAGGCAAAGTAGAAATGTTATCTTGGAGCAACATTTCTTACAGCATAGCACAATCTTTTTTGTCAGTTCTTCATTGCATGTTTGACTGTACAAAAAGCATTATGCTGCTATCACCCTTATGCTTAATGCATTACTTTTCTCTTTGTTATGCAGAACAACGAATTGCTGGACTCAGTAACACTGGTTACTTTTATCACTGAAACTGGGAGCACTTTTCAAAATGAAGTGTAATGCGTAAGAGAAAATAGGCTTTTTAAACAATTGGGTAAAACTAAGTGGCTGTTGCATGGGTAGAAGACAAACCTACCAAATTCAAGGTCCTGTATGGTAGAACAAGTGGCCTTTTGACTTTTAATATCATCATAAATGCTACACGATGTTAGCATCCTAAGGGGATTAATTAAGACAGGCAGGATGTATTTTTCTAGTTGATTTTATTTCAGTCTTTAGCAACCTATCATTATTAAAGTCAATAGCCTGTCCAAGGTACACGCTGGACGGACAATCATTCATACTTACATTCACACCTACAGCCTTTTAGAATCAGCAGTTAACCTCCTGAGTGAACCTTCCCCATTGTCAGATGGAATAAAATCCAGCCACCTGCAACCCTAAGTTGAGTAAGAGAATATGCATGTAAGACAATGAGATGTATTAAGGTTAAGGTGGCATGACAGCTTACTGCTAAACATCTGGCTTCCCCTGGTGTCTGTGCATGTTTTCCAATAATTAATCTTATGAGGTTTACTTTATGATAAATAGAAGTTAAATAAAAGGAAGGAGGATGTTTAAAATGTGCATATACATCAAATAAGCCAATCATTCACTGATTTTTGTAACTACTTATCCAATTCAGGATAAGTCCTGGTCCTGGTGTGTTTTTGTGTTCCACAAGAAAAGCTGCTCTCATTTATTAAATTTTTAGTTTAATAAATGCTGACGTGCTACAATCTGAAAATGTGGGTGTTTAGCATCATTACAGTCCTGTAAATCATCCGTTTGGTGTGGTGATGGTGCTAGAGCCCTGAGATAATCAGTTCAAATCACTGTTTATTTTGTACCAACTTTTGGATACCTTTTAAGAAACAGGTCATTTTGACAGGTTTGAAAACTGAATGTTACATAGCCTTATATAACAGATGTTTTGTTTGATGAAAAAAAAAAAAGTAGAACCTCCCACAGTATAATACTGCCTTTGAGCCCGGTTGTTTTGCAGCGACTTGCTTTTCGGCACAGTCACCAGTCTTTTATTTCTGTGGAGATGTGTGGAACTAGTTCTTGATAAAACTGGCACTACAGCATCTTAAGGACTTGTCCACACATTTCACACAGACAAGAAGACAAAGGGTCTTAAAAAACAAAAAAAAAAACCCCACTTATAGCAACATAGCTCTCTAACTTTTCAATTACATGTAGTTCTTGTTCTTTTGAGTTTGAGTGCACTTATTGAAGTCACTTTTGACAAATGGGTCTTCCGGATGAATGTAATTTAATATAATGATGGTCCCCACTACATAGGATTCCATAATAGCTACCCAGATTTTTCACTGAAAAATACAAAATGTCAACTCCATGGTGATTCGAAAGGAAAAGCCAAAATCATTCTTCTTTACCTTCACGGTCCTGTGGGTTTTTATACATTTTGTGATAATCCACCTGATGTAAATGTATAAAGCATGAATTAATGTGAATTAATTTAACATCTAATAGTTTCTAATGTTTTTCAGTGTGAACCAAAGTGGTGGACTGACTAAAATTCAGCACTGCCCTTCTGAAAGCTGTGACACCAACGTGGCTTTACGCTTTAAGTAATGAAATCAAGTTTGCTGCAAGTTCAAACAATGATGTAAGCTATCTTTAAAGAGTGAGATATGTGACGTATGGATACCCAGTTATACAAACTGTAAAGCAATTGTTCAGTCAGAAATACAAACTTCACTCAGTTTGCTCTCTGCTGTCAGTGGTGATAAGTATTCATACAATGATGGATTGAATGGGAGTAGTTCTTCCTGTACCACTGGCATTGTGTACATCCAGAAATGCATATATCCTTGAAACATAAGGTCTTCTCATGAAGTAAGAATAAAAGCACACCATTTAAAGTAATAGTAGCCATTACAGAACAGAAGCAGCTGCAGATGGACACCCTGGGCAGAAAACTGACAGCCTAATGAGGTGTGGCTCTGTGGAAATGTGCAAGAAAGGCTCAAGTCTTTCTTGATTTTAGAAGGAGAAAAAGGGCTGCTGAATGCTTTCACTCTGCAGAAAAGTCTGCACAGCCAACATGTAAGAAAAAAAAAAGAAAAACATGTAACATGTACATTTGTACATTTTTGACATATCTTACAACAGCCCACAGTGCACTGACTGAATATCTTACTGCAGGCTTCATCCATGTACATGAATATGTTTGTTTTTGAAAAAGATCTCTGGTGAGAGTGCTAATGCCTTTTCACTAATCTTAAGCATTTCAATACTTTAGCACATAAACCATGTTATAATTTAGTCATTTAGTACATTTGTCTTATGATATGGCTTCAGGAGTCTTGCAGTCAAAGAAAATGAAATTGTTGTCTGCATATCTATATTAAACAAAAGGTCAAATTTGAGTCAAGCTTGTCTGTACGTGTGTAGCTGGTGTGCTGTCTCTTTTGACAAATTAGGTCAAGTGTATGGCAAAACAGTCTGTAAACATAGCTGTGAAAAAGCATACAAAAAGAACAATTACACTATTGACACAAAATCCTTTACTTATCGAGCTAACAGTTTTATTGAGCTAAAGGGCAGAAGATATTTAATGACTACAGACACAATCCCAGAAATACAACTGACACACTGTACAAGCAGGTGAACACAGCCCCCAGATTATGTGCAATAATATATCAAGAACAAATGCACATCAAGAGCAATCACTCTGACAGAGAGAGCATTTTTGTGCCTTTAAAACTGACTTAAACTGTCGGCACAGGAGGCAGTTCTAATGATTTCAGGTTCTTCTGTGGAATAAGTGGCAGCATAATTTACAGGCTTTTCCCAAAATACTGTTCTGACTCTGGGGGCAAACATATGTAAAATATTGTGAGAACAAAGGCCATACTACTGACTGTGTTACACGTGCATTTATACAGATATGACAAAAACAAAACAAGACAAAAACCCAGCCCATGCTCAGACTGACGGTCAGAGGAGGTAAGTAACGAAGTACAATTACTTTATTACTGTATTAAGTTTTCAGGCATCTGCACTTTACTACCTTTATTTTTTCTGATAACTTTTTACTTTTACTCCCTTTTTTACACAATTTTTTTTTTTTTAGCTGTCAAGTAATTTCAAATACAGTATTTGTATTAGCTCGTCAATGTTTGTGTGCATTTGTCGCACAGTGTGTTGCTAGCTAAAGGTCCAGCTGCTGCATTTCACAGGGAGAGAAAGGAGTTAGAGCTAAATTCAAAAAGAGATGGAGAAAGAAAAAGAAAGACAGGACAGGAGAGGAGAGGAAGAGGAAGAGGAGAGATTATATTTAAAGGTTAGTGCTCAGACACACTTGATATACTGCAGATTTAAAGAGTACATGCAATGCGTTTTTTTAATCACAGATTGGATCAGTGTGTGATGTGTTTTGATAAATTATGTATTTTCATATTGTGAAACATCCTGCAGAACAAAGTATACTAAATTTCTGTCATTTAAATGTTGCATGAAACTACTCTGTAGTTTGTTTGGGATAAAGAGGTTAGCTTGCTGTCCTGTGGTGAATTTATAGTAAAGCAGTATGTTGGACTGGTGCACAGGGGCTATGGTCAGTGTTCAGTTACATCATGTGTAGACTAATTTGCATTTAAGATGATTATGCTTAGATTAAGTCACTAAATTCCACCTTTATGCCAACTGTATACAGTCTAGTATAAAGACAATATACGATATACTGTTAGTTTAGCAAATGCAAGTCAGCCAAGATAGCTCCTGACACTGCTGACATCTTGTTCAATTAAGTTGTGTAGAGCCACAAAGAGCAGCAGGTCAGCTGATCACAGCCTGTACACTAAGAAAATCTACTGAAGGTCACATTAGAAAAAAAAGAACTATTTGTGAGTTGTGAATCTGTTCCTCATGCTGAGCCTCTAGAATACAATCTGTTCTCCCACATACCAGATCTCACTTTCACTCCTCACTGTACTCATTTTCCTGTTTCCTGGAAAAGTCCGTCTACAATTTAGATAACAGAATATATATATATATATATATATATATATCCCTTTCACTGTTTGTGTCCTACATAAAAGATTCAAG